TCCGACTCTTGCCAATCCATGGACTGTAGCCCACAAGATTCCTCTGTCCATGGGATTTCCCAGGCAAGAATACTGGAGTGGGTTGCCATTTCCTTCTCCAAAACCAAGAATCCATGTTAATTTTTAGTACCACCCAAGTTTATGCCATTTTCACTAGAGAACAAACAGATGATATTGAAGACTTATACTATCCTACTAATTGGATTAACTTGTCTATTTTGTGAATTAACTTTTAGATTTAGTTTAGATAACCAAGGTGACTAAATTGGAAAGTGACCTTTGACAACTATTTTCTATAAAAACTAGACAAAGTGTCTCTAAAGCCAGGTACTGTTAGCAGTAACATTCTTGTGTAGGGATGGTACATTCTGTAAAAGCTTATTAGCTTTCATGCCTTATATTAGTCTTCATTTTGTTCACATTTCTTTCTAAAACATATTTTTAAATGCTTTATCATGAGATACTACAATATACAGTCCAAAATGCACACAGTATTAACCACGGATGAAATTATTTCCTATATAAATGTGTGTAAGGAATGAAAGATGAGGAGCTACACCACTAGACTCTTTTTAAATTTTTTTGGTTCAGGTAGTAACAGATGTATCAGCAGTTTTATTTCTGTGTTTCCTAGGTTTTAGTCAAGCTTATTTTACTATTTGTGTCATATCAAGTTAAATTAATTAATCAAGTATTGATTACCAGCTTTATGCTGGGTATTTAACTGGACATCACCAAGCCTGGTGGTACCTTGATGATCTTGGTGATCATCTGTGTGCCTTCCATAATTTGCAAAGCAGACAGCTATGCTCCATGTTCTCCATGATCATGAGGAGGTATTAAGGTCTCTTTCAGTTAATATACTTCTGTGATAGCTTTTATTTTCAATGTGGTATATAATAAGCAGGTTTTTGCTTTTTTTTTTTTCTTTCAGATGGTTCTCAAACTCTGAACTTGGGGCTTCTATATTCTGAAAATAATTACTGTGATTTCCCTAAGTCTTATTTTGTCATGAACATAAAGGCCACTTTCCCCTAACCTCACACCATCCAACTTTTAATTACTTCACCCAAGTATTATTCTTTATAACACTCTACATTTGTATTACCTTTGGAAAGCATCAAAGTTTGGAAGACTATCTGCTCCTTCTAAATGGTGTGGAAATCTAAAATACAGTGTAGTGGAGAAGAAATCTGACTTACCTAATCCGGGGCATTATACAATTTAGTTATATTACCTGACCCTCAAATTTGTTATTTGTAAAGTGGTAACAGTAGATACATGAGGATCTTTTTGCGAGTTGATTATGCACATTGTTTTGAGTCTCTATAGTAGACATTCAGTACATGATTTACTGTTGATTCAGCATTTTAGAAGGAAGAAAGTAGTTGGGCACATAGTCATGCTTTGTTTGGCATGATGTTAGTGACTGGCTGGTGAGGAAGGTGAGGGGATGATCCTTTACCCTCCTAGCCACTTGATTTCTTGCTATCATGTGTGATATAGCTTTGCCATGCATTTTAGTCTTAATATTTCTAAAGCAAAATTGAGATAAAGTCAGTCCATGCTGTAGCGTCATGAAATTTACTGGGCACATACAGTGCATGATTCTGAGAATTTTACTATGTTGAATACCAAGTCAAATTAACTTTAAAGAAACTTTTGACTTATTAGTATGTGCAAAATATCGAACTGATACAAATATGAGTGTGTGTGTATGTTATTGTATATGCTCATAAGAAAATCTCGGTGGACATTAGTAAATGTGCTGTTTGTTTTCTGTGTACTGTGAGTGTGTTTCTTTAGAGGTTTTTCTTTCCCTGCTCATTCACAGTAGAATCTTGGCACTCCCCCTTATGCTAGGCATACTACATGCATCGCTTCTTCCAATTCTAACACCAGTGTTGCTCTGTGGCTCATCCAGTAGCAGGTGTTGAACATTGATATAAACAGAATTTTGTCTAGCAAAGCCATAATCCTCCCATTTCCTGTCTCTACTGGCCAATGAAACACTAATGCCAAGCTTACTTCCAAATTCAAGTCTCAGGCATCACAGTTCATTATGCTTCCTGCCAAAACTATTGGCCCATGGAAACTCTTATTTTAAAAATTAAAGCAGAGCAAAAGTTTCTCTCAAATTCCATGTGATTTTAGGTGACAACACTCCTAATTTTTCAGCTTTCACTGAAATTAGTAAGTTGAGATTATTTTGAAGTTAATTACTTAATAATATTTCTCTTTGAATATAGCAAACTGCCTAATTATAACAGAACTGTTCACCATGTATCTCAAAATATTTTGAGGGGGAAGTTCAGAAAACTGTAAATTCTCAAAACTTGAGCATCTTAGCATTCTAAGGGATTTGGAATGATTAGTAGATAGAATCATTTGAACCAACCATTTGTATCAATAAAACTAATTTATGTGAAACAATTTAGATTTAAAGGTTACATAATTTTAGAACACAGAACTCATATAGCTTCCTTAAATCTTTTTTCAAAGGGAGTGGTGCAGGAGGCAAGACTCATAAACAATTTGATAAATTTAAAATAAATTTAAAATTTAAAACAACTTGATTAACTTTAAATTATATTTAAATTAAAAAAGAATTAAAAGTTAATATTAGGAAGATTGACTTTGAAGAGGTATTTACTAGCTTAATTATTTGGAATGTTAGGAAATATTTATGAGGAAATGTTTCTTCTATCATTTTCTAGGGCCAATATTTTTATAACTATGTGTATAACAAAGCTTTGTTAATATATTCAGGGTACATATTCATATATTGATACAGTGGTATTCAGAGACTATAATACATGTTCCTTTAAATCCAGCTAACCACTACAGTATGCAAGAGTTTGATAAGGTAATCTCTATCAGGTAGAGATAATTATAACATGGTATATCAATAAGTATTGAAAAATATAAAGTAAGTGCGGAAGAAGTAGGATTTGGGTCCTAATTCTTAACTGTTTATCCAGATTTTTTCCCTCTTAGATGTTATAGGAACAGTAATAAGTCCTTATAAAGGCTTCATATCTAATACATAGGGGTTAGGTGCTAAAGGTTTAATGTAATTCTAATCATAATCTTGATATGGAAATTGATGCATGTATTTTAATATTAATATGGGAGAGAAAAAATAAAATGTTCTTGATAATTAACAATTAGAGGACTTGCCATGCTGAATATTGAGCCATATTTTAAGGTAATAAGGATTTAAATGGAGTATTGCTATGAAGATGGATCAAAAAGATAAATGGAATTGACTAAGGAGCCTGGTCAGACCCAAAGACATGTAGAAATATATATATAAATAAAAGAATTGTCACTGCACATGAGTGAAGAATGTAGCAATGGGAACCAAGATGATTATTCATACACAAAAAAATAATATTGGGTAATATTGCATGCATTTCTACCACACCACACACACACATAAATATTCCAGGTAAACACTGAAATGTGAAAAACTTAGTTCTTTAAATCTTTTCGAAAATAACTTCATTACCTCAGGTTTGAGAAGATTCAGAAAAATGTGCAAACCATTACATTGTATTAAAAAAAAAAAAACATGTACACAAAGGCTTTCTGGAGCAAATGACACCATACAGTGGCCAGAGTATGGCACCATATGTTCTATTCAATAGAAACAAGAAACTAAAAACCTCCAAAATTGCAATTAAGATTATAAAACTTTATTTCATCATAAAACAAGACATTGAAAATGAAAGAGAAGCCAAAAATTGCGAGTAGGTAAGTACCCTGTTGTTGTTCAGTCACTAAGTTATGTCCAACTCTTTGCGGCCCCATGGACTAAAGCCTACCAGGCTTCCCTGTCCTTCACTATCTCCCAGAGTTTGCTCAGACTCATGACCGTTGAGGTGATGATGCCAACCGTATCATCCTTTGCTGCCCCCTTCCCTTCTTGCCATCAGTCTTTCCCAGAATCAGGGGCTTTTCCAATGAGTTGTCTCTTCACATCAGGTGGCCAAAATATTGAAGCTTCAGCATCAGTCCTTACAATGAATATTCAGTGTTGATTTCCTTTAGGATTGACTGGTTTTGTTTAGGGTTTCTTAAATAAGTATTAAGAAAAATAATGTGATGGGCAAAAATAATAAAAAATATCCATACTATTAGGTAATAGTTTAGATAGAAATGAAATGTTTATAGGAAGATAGATACATTTTTTTTTTTTTTTTGCCAAAAACCAAAAAGAGCTGGTTCTTTTATATTCTGGCCCCAAACAAAGCAAAACTTTATTAAATTTTAACATTTTAATTTCTCATGTCTCATTTTTTTCCAAGTTCTATTCATTTTTTTAACCACAGTTTTTCTGGTTTCTAGGATGTCATAAGCAAAAATAGTATTACTATGGACTTGGAACAGGTATAGAAATAAATTTATAGACTACACAGCAAGAATACGTGAAAACTAACTTCACATTGGTTTGACAATATGTGGTTGGCTTTAACAGGATATACTGATTTTACTGCATATCATCATTTTCACAGCATCATATAATTTGGCATGTAATTTATATCAAGATTTGCCTCTGAATCATTTTAAATAGCAATAGCTATGTATTAATTATATAGCTTTATATGAATTATGTTAACTACAATATATAACTGTCTCAACCATCATGATTACTCATTTTGGAGCCCAGTTTTAGATAGATTATGCTGATGTCAATAGAAGGATCAGAACCAATAAAAGAACTAGTTGTCATCTAGTACTCTCCTCTCGGTAGTCCCAGAGTCCTTTATTAGTTCTTAATTAAGAGTTTAATTCATTCTGCTTTGATTTTGTATAATTTCTGTGCAAGCTCATCACCTCTACCAAACTGAGTTTCTTGTGTGGCATCCTGTCTCATTCATCTTTAATATCCCATATCTATTAATAATGGTTCATATAGTGAACAACCATAACTCAAAAGAATAAAGATTTTCCTGTTTTTTCTTTTTTTAAGAGTATGCTTTTTAAATTTCTTTTAGAAATTTGGTACAGCTGTACAAAAGTGAAGATGACACGGAAATTTCAAAGAAGATTAAGACTCAGTGGACTACTTTGGGCCTAGAAGATGTACAGCTTGTAAATTACTCTGTGTTGCTGAACCTGCCAGGTCTTTTTCCCAGCTCTGTGACTCTGATCAGCAGTGGCCAGTGCTTTCATCCTAATGGCCAGCCTTGCAGTGAAGAAGCCAGAAAATGGAGCAGCCAAGACCTGCTATATTCATATGCAGCCTATTCTGCCAGTGGAATTCTCGAGGTAATATGACCATTTATCTCTGTCATTTACAGTGAAATGAAATTAGAAAACAACAGCTTTCATCTAAATTGAACTAACTGGCAAGATACAGCATACCAAAGTAACCATTAAATGTTCTCAGTGTAGAGGTGCCAGGAAAGGGAAGGAATATTTAAATTGCCCAACCCTTGTCATATTTGGAAAGTGAAAACATGTTAGAAGAATTTAATTCAAAAGTGTTGAATGTGTGACTGAGTCATTCACATTTTGCAAATTCATTTTCTTCTTTGGTTCTAAAGAGGCAAGTTTTAATAGATTGATGTGGACAGAAAGAGTAAAAATGGAGGCAGTTGTGTTTTGAGATTGTGTATGCACACAAGCAGTGAAGTGGAAAATTGATGTGATTATTCACACATTTAAGATTTGACATACAGTGTTTCTGCTTTATGATGGAAAATACATGAAAAAGGGACCAGGTGTGAATTTTTCACTTTAATCTTTCTAAGTTAGCTGTTTTTTGTTTGTTTGTTTTGTTTTGTTTTTTAAGGTGTTTTTCTGGCATTGTGGTTAGGTGCACAGCTTCTAGAGCCACATGGACTAGTTTAGTTTCAATTCTCAAATCCCCAATTATCACTGATAATTAAGCATCTGGGGCTGAGTTTTCTCATCTTTGAAATGGGAATAATAATGGTCCCAGCTTCATAATCTTGTTGTGAGAATTGAATTAATAGATGTAAATCTTGGAGGATAGAGCTTAGCCTATTGTAAGAACAATATAGCAGTTAGACTTCAAGCGTTTAAGTGGTCACTAGTTTCCTTTATAGGCAAATTTTTCATATCCATATCAAAGTCTCATTTTAATAAACACATTTAGTTTCTTTATAAAGCTATAAATTTCTTCTATAGATTTTGTGTGAATAAAATGATGTTTCTGCTAATTATTGACACAGCTTTTTAAGATTCTAATTTATGATTAAGTCAGAATAAGATGATTAATTTAAATCATCTAAAGTTACATTGCATAAATAAAGGCTTGTTCCCAAGTTTTTTGTTAATTTTTTGGGGAGAGGCAGTTAACTGACCCTTCAGCACTGTTTTTGTTCTGTGTTTTAACATCCTTAACATTTAGCATAACTACTACACATAACCAGCACCATCTTGAAAGTCTTTTTATTAATTAACAGTTAACATAGTATTAAGTGTAATATTTCCAGTGTAGGACTCATGGTTTGATTTGATTACCCTATTTCTGATAGGCAATAATAGATATGTACCCGCATATTAATAGAGATAGAAGGAGGCTGCTTGCTTTCTTTCTTTGGTTCAGAAACTTTGGTCTTAAGTTGTGATTTTAAAGTTAACGCACAGCTTTTCTCTCAGGTTCCCAAAGTTGTGTAAGTGAAAGTTGCTCAGTCATGTCAGACTCTTTACAACTCCATGGACTAGACAGTCCATGGAATTCTCCAGGCCAGAATACTTGAGTGGTTAGCCTTTCCCTTCTCCAGGGGATCTTCCCAACCGAGGGATTGAACCCAGGTCTCCCGCATTACGGGTGGATTCTTTACCCGCTGAGCTACAAAGAAAGCCCAACATTTCCAGGTTCCTCCTTATCCCAGTTGATTCAAGTATATCAGAGTCATCTCCTTCCTTAAACAAAGCACATCCTAAACACAGAACAACAATAAAATCCCAGAAGATTGAGAAGGTCCTTGGAATCACCCCCCATTTATTTTCTTTTCAATTTCCTCTGGCAAACATTTATTATTCCTTGACTGAGCTGATAGGGAAAAGTCATGGAACTATAACTTGTGTCTGTTGTCTCTATATGGATGTCTCTAACAATCCCCTGGACATACTGAATTGGTTTTTGTATTCCTATGTAATCATATCTCTGATTATTATACATTTATCTTATCAATTACATCTATAACTCACTTTATTTCTCCCTTTTAATAGTCATATTTTGAATTTTCCAACATTTCTTTATTAAAAATGCTAGTTTCTCAAAAAATTCAAGTATAATTGATAATATTATATTAGTTTCATGTATACAACTTAGTGATTCAATATTTTTATAGATTATACATCATGGAATCTTGGAGGTACTGAGCTTGTGAAGTGACAAGTCATGGAAACCTACGTTCTTGGTGGGACTATAAATTGGTGCAGCCACTATTTAAAACAGTATGTAGGTTCTTAAAACAGTATGTAGAAAACTAAAAATAGAGCTACCATGGGACCAAGCAATTCCACTTCTGAGTATATATTCGAAGAAAATAAAAGCACTAACTTGAAAATATATATCCATCCCAATGTTCATAGAGATGTTATTTTACACATACACATGAACACATAGACAGTGGTATGTTACTCAGCTATAAAAACTGAAATTTTGCCACTTGAGACAACATGGATGGACCTGCAGGGTATTAGGCTTAATGAAATGTCAGAAAGAGAAAGACAAATACATTATTTTATCACTTATGTGTGGAATATAAAAAATAAAATGAATAAGTATAACAAAATAGAAAAAAAGTCTAATGTCGAGAACAAACTAGTGGTTACTAGTGGGGAGAGGGAAAGGAAAGGGAAAGATAGGGGATTAATGAGTATAAACTACTATGTGTAAAATAAATATGCTACAAAGATGTACAGCATAGGAAATATAGCCAATATTTTATAATGGCTTTAAATGATGTATAATCTATAAAAATACTGACTCACTATGTTGGATACATGAAACTAATATAATATCAATTATACTTGAATTTTTTGAGAAACTAGCATTTTTAATAAAGAAATGTTGGAAAATTCAAAATACGACTATTAAAAGGGAGAAATAAAGTTAGTTATAGATGTAGAAATGTATTCTATGTTTGAAATATTGGGCCTACATAGGAGGGAATAATATTAAAAGAACTAAAATGCAATTATGGATAAAACAAATACCTTGTGTTTGAAGAACATATTTAAGAAATTAACTGCAAATTAGATGAAGACATTGGTAAGAAGTATTTTTTAGAATTATTTTAGCAATTTAAATCTGTTATACTAAATACATAATAATTTAAATATTTATATAAATAATATAAATAAAGGATATACCCCTCTGGTGGCTCACATGATAAAGAATCCACCTGCAATGCAGAAGACCCAGGTTAGATCCCTGGGTCAGAAAGATCCCCTGGAGAAAGGAATGGCTACCCACTCCACTATTCTTGCCTGGATAATTTGAGAGAGAAGCCTGGTGGGCTACAGTCTATGGGGGTCATAAAGAGTCAGATGTGACTGAGCAGCTAACCACTTCACTTCATGTTGATATTGATTTGTTGAATTCACACTATATCACTATATTAGTAGTATAATTTTCAAAAGCATTTCTCAGTTATTATTTTATATGCATATGGATTGCTTGCATATATTTTATATACATGTTTTAGATGGATGTATTAGTGAAAAATATATATTCTGGTTAATAGGATAATGGTGATTTTTCCATGTTTCTTCAGAATAGTTCCTAATTCAAATTAAGCTTGAGAGGTTGCTGCTGATGATACAGGCATACCTACTTTTTTATTTTGAGTACATTGTGTTTGCATGAATTTCTATCAGGCAGAGCCATTATCAAGTTCTTAAATTATTCTGGTCTGACTGCCAGCCAAGCTCCCCACTACTTTTGCTTTTGACAAGGTTATTTGTAGATGAGGCGCACCCTTTTTCTTTGAAGAGCTGTCATGTTCATTCATCATATGACTGTTTTGTATAAGCTTCCAATTTTTGCTTTCTGGTAACAGTCTAAACAGCATTTGTGATATCTGAGATCTACTTTGAAAACCTACTTAGTGCCAGCATGATGGATGGTGTAGCTTGCAACTTCTTTGTAATTCATTGTGCACCAGAAAGGTGACATTGTTTACCCCATCGTAATGACAGGTGGGTCAGTAAAGTGGTTCTAAGGAGAGTTGCCCTGTCAGATGCAAAATACATATTAAAATGGATCCATAAATAAATTAGCATGAGTGAGGTTAGTTTCTGTGGAAAATTTCTTAAAGAGATGGGAATACCAGAACACCTGACCTGCCTCCTGAGAAATCTGTATGTAGGTCAAGAAGCAACAGTGAGAAATGGACATGGAACAAAAGACTGGTTCCAAATAGGAAAAGGAGTACATCAAGGCTGTATATTGTCACCCTGCTTATTTAACTTATATGCAGAGTACATCATGAGGAATGTCAGGCTGGATGAAGCAGAAGCTGGAATCAGGATTACTGGAAAAAATATCAATAACCTCAGATATGCAGATGGCACTACCCTTATGGCAGAAAGTGAAGAACTAAAGAGTCACTTGATGAAAATGAAAGAGGAGAGTGAAAAAGTTGGATTAAAGCTCATCATTCAGAAAGCTAAGATCATGGCATCTGGTCCCATCACTTCATGGCAAATAGATGGGGAAACAGTGGAAACAGTGGCTGACTTTATTTTTCTGGGCTTCAAAATCACTGCAGATGGTGATTGCAGCCATGAAATTAAAAGATGCTTACTCCTTGGAAGGAAAGTTATGACTAACCTGACAGCCTATTAAAAATTAGAGACATTACTTTGCCAAAAAAGGTCCATCTAGTCAAGGCTATGGTTTTTCCAGTGATCTTGTATGCAAGTGAGAGTTAGGCTATACAGAAAGCTGAGCACCGAGGAATTGATGCTTTTGAACTGTGGTGTTGGAGAAGACTCTTGAGAGTCCATTGGACAGCAAGGAGATCCAACCAGTCCATCCTAAAGGAGACCAGTCCTGGGTGTTCATTAGAGGGACTGATGTTGAAGCTGAAACTCCAACACTTTGACCACCTGATGTGAAGAGCTGATTCACTGGAAAAACCCTGATGCTGGGAAAGATTAAGGTAAGGAGAAGAAGGGGACGACAGAGGATGAGATGAGATGGTTGGATGGCATCATTGATTCAATGGACATACGTTTGGGTGTACTCTGGGAGTTGGTGATGGACAGGGAGGCCTGGCATGCTG